GATTGAAGAGAACTGAAGCAACCGTTTCAGCATCCTGTGATTTCATGGGTTCCGCCTTAGCCGATTTCGTGAAGTAATCGACCATAACCAAAATTTTTCGGTTTCCTCTCTTGGTGGGTGGAAGAGGACCCATAATGTCTATACCTACTCTTTCCCCTGGAAAACCGGTAGGCATGGGTTGTAAAGGTGCATTGGCTCTGGGTTGAAGCCTTTTAAAACCACTGCAAGTGGTACAGGTTCGGGAGAAATCCCGCACATCTAGGGTGAGCGAAGGCCACCAGTATCTTTTACTCGAGGCATCTAACATCTTTGCACCCACGTGACCGAGTTGCTAGTGTAACTCTTGCAGAACTGCTTGTACTAGTGATCCAGGAACCACTAGACGCTTAGGAGAGTGAACACCTTCTTGGTACCATAAAATCTCATCCTCTAGAGAGAGTTTCGACCACTCCTGCCAAATCCGTCCAGCCGCCTTGCTGGCCGACGTTACCTCTTCCAATGCAGGCTTATGCCAGGATGCCAGGAATTTCTCATATATCAGAGCAGTGTCAGGGTCAGTACTCTGCGTATTTCTCCAATGATGTCTGGCAGGATCGCTCAAAAATACGGTGTGCACGACAGTCACCTGAATCTGCTTAAGTCGGTCTGCGGGATAGTGCGTCCACATTACCATGCCCTAATCTTTTTCGGTATTAGACCGAAAAGTCATACTGTTGCAGTTCTTCGTACCAGATTGCAACTGAATGATCGATCTCCTTCAGTGTTTTTAACCAGGAAAGTGCCACACTGCAATCACTCCAAACTCATATTTGAGTACAATCTAGAAGCCTGCAAAAGATTTTCGCAACAATCTACTCCACTCTGCCAATCGTAGTCAAAAATTATCCTCTGGCCTACCTCAAGTTCGACGAACATTCAGAAGCATGACAATGAGACCCTCTCAGTCAAGCCTATATCAACCAAGTAAAGACCGCATTGCAAACACTCTAACCGCACATTCGAGTACGATGTGCAAGCCTGCAAACCAATTTCGCCAAAATCTACTCCACTGTGCCAATCGGAGTCAAAAATTATACTCTGGCCTACCTCAAGTTTAACAAACTTTCGGAGGCATGACTATGAAACCCGCTCAGTCAAGGCTATTTGAGCCAAGTAAAGACCACGGTGCGATTACTCTAACTTGATATTTGAGTATGATCTACAAGCCCGCAAACGAATTTTGCATAAATCTACGGGACTGTGGCAATGGAAGTCAAAAATAATACACTAGCCTAACTCAATTTCAGCAGTCATTTGGAGGGATGTCAAGGAGACCCGTTCAGTCAAGCCAATATCATCCAAGTAATGTGCACACTGCGAACACTCTAACCTCACATTCGAGTGTAAAGGACTTTCTTCAAGCCGACTTTGCTATTCCAGAAACCGTTGAAAACTAATCACTATCCTAACTTCTGTTTCATTGTCATTCTCAGGTAAGCCTTTGAAGGGCCGGATTATAATAGGACGTTAGCAGCTTGACGTGAGCCGATTTGGCTTTGCCATAATGCGGTTTAGAGAACGTCGTTCCACTCTCCGATAATCTGCCGACTGTATTGGCAATGTGTGATTCGCGCCTGATCGGATTTGCTTTCACTTCGTTTGCGTTTACTGGAATATACTCCTTTCGTCCAGTTTAGGTGGAAAATAATATTCACGTGTGATTTGCGCAAGAAGACATTTAATCTCCTTTCTGTTCAATTTAGTGGCTAAAACCTCACTCATATATATATATATATTAGAGCGGTATATGGCCATGGTTCCAAGTTTGTTTGTGACGAATTCTGAAGATTGCATTCGGAAAGCTGCCCTGATCTACGCAGTAGCGATTGAATTTGCTAGCATGCTGGCTAAAAGGTGAGCTACTACCCTGGTCAACATATTCCACTTGTACTATCTGCAGAATTTCCCATACAGCTATACTCAGCAATAAGCACACATGGAAGCAAGGAGCAACGAAAATAAAATGTCACTTACACGTTACAGTACAAAAAATAAAGCAGAAGGATATCTATAAATACTGGTCTAAATATGAAAAAGGAACACAAATGATTTAACAGAAAAAGTGGTTACTCACAGAAGGCAGCGCTGTCTCAGCCGAGTCCCAAACGCTAGCGCGTGCATCCTCAGCAATTATTACTGAACGTCTTTGGCAGAGAAAGCTTCAGTTGGAGATGCATCTACAAGCAGGTCGCAGGCAATCGCACGCATTTCGCTGCTTCTTATGCGCTCCACAAATTTATTATCCATCTTTACAGATGATGAGGCTGTCACAATTACGCCCCACGTTTAATCTTTGAAAACAACGGGTAAAGCGACACCATGTCAAGCATTCCTTAAAGATATACACTTCTTGCATGCAAGCTCTTAAAGTAAAGTAGCAGACAGCAAACTTACCTCTTTTAAACCCCTTGCATACTTAACGAAACGAATGTGATTAAATTACTGGCATATGGAGCAGCACAAATCCAAAACATATCATCAAAACACAACTTCACTTAAAGCGCGGTGGTACGATGGTTAGACACGGGCATACAATCAAACAAACCAAAAAAAGTCAACAACAAAACTAAAACAAACTAAAGTGAAAAATGTATTAAAAAGTTTGTATGAAGTGTGGTTATGCATTTGTTTGCATTATCAATTGCGAAAAAAAGATTTTTTAAATGATCAAAGATTTTGTTAAATCCTTGCTTTTTATAAACATTTTTAACTACAGCAAAATTTGTCTGATGTTTACATGCCTGTTTATCTACCTACCTAACAGCTTTTCGCCTTATTTATCTATCTGTCTCTCAAGCTATTAACGCAGCGTGCAGAGACTTCTTTGAATACGAAAGAAGACACATTACTTGAGCAGAATATATATATTAGGCACAGAGGAGGTGTTTAAGCTACCGGCAGGGTTAGAAGGTTAGCCTACCCAGCGAGGTACAAGAATGCAAACTCACAATTCCAAAAATTACCCCTCACCAATACTGAGGGATAATCCACCATCGTATTGGATTGCCTTTCTTCTCTTTTGAGCGTCGTTATCAAAGTTCTAGAAGGGCAACCTCCCGCGTTAGCCATTACAAGGTAGTCGGTGCTGTAAAGTAACACCTGCGATCCGGCCGAGCCAGTCACCAAATTATTGCGCAACCGAGGTGATATTTGACCTCCACATCATTGATCCACTTTTGATAGCCCTATTAAATTTAGAATTTTGTGCAATTTGGAAACTTTATTTAGAGATGGAGAAACGCGCTGGCCATTATACATGTCCATAGATAGATGTAGGAACACTGGCAAGTCCATGGGGGTGGGGGGGTTGAGCGTCTGTTCCTCCTTGCCACGTTATTCCTACTTTAAAGCGCAGGAAAAGTCTGTAACGGACCTTCCAGATGGTTTACGGCTACTGTCGCTTCAGTAGTTTGTAGCTTTTCTGACATGTTCATAGGAGTGTGACTGTCTGACGGAGCAAAGGGCGTGTAATTGTAGCACTAATTCGTTTTCTGCTATATGCAATTTGGAAGTAGCGTGCGTTTTCCATAGTAACCACGACAGTGTATTTGATGAGGAGGCCAATAAATGGAGATCCCGCTGTCATTCTCCTCGAGAAGACCAGAAGGCGACGACGTTTATCATGCCGAAGGAGGAAGCAGACGAATCACATCTGCGTGTGGTGTTTTTGCGAAGTGGAGAGGCAGACAAATTGAATAGAGTGGGATGAGCAGCAGACGCTCTCCATTCCAATTAGCGTACTTTATAAGGGTGAGTGAGGGTGTGCATTTGTCATCACCTGTAGAAAACACTTTAATGCCACCAAACAGGGCTGATCTGCTATGATGAGATGACCACTCCGCAGAGACTGGTGCATGCAGCAGTGTGGATGTGCGCGCATGCATTTAGAGAGGATGTGCAAGAGCAAGGCTTGCTGCAAGTTGGCAGGGTGTTGTTCAGTACATAGCCTAATTTTCAGTGCTGTGACAGGTAGAGTCCAACCAACAATGTAGGAAATTGGGGGCTGCCATAGGCGAGGACAAGCAGACTACTATACGGGATGAAGTGAAAGGAGGAATGTGCTGGCATTTTAGGCACTAGGGACATTGGTTGTGCAGAAGCAGAGAAGATAGATGAGAAGAAGTAGAAGCAGGAGGTAGAGGACAAAGAGGAGGAGGAGAAGAAGCAGGAGGAGGAGAAAGAAGAGTAGAAGGGGAATAATGGTAGACTTGCTGAACATTACGTCCTGTTTGCTACCCCGAAGTAATTGAGCAGTTCCGTAAGTGTGTCCTTTCCTTCTTTCTCACCTTCTTTTGTCTCCTTGATTTCATCCCTACTGCCCACCTTGCATGTGATATTTGTGCCAATTTTGGACCACCTACTACATCCATTAAAGCAAGGAAATAGGGAGAGAAGAGATTGTCCTGTTTCATGCTACCCGTATTGACTAGGACGATGTTAGTGTGGTGAGAAAAGTAAGCGGACTCAAAGTTCAGGACGTGCATTTACACACGTTGTAGTAATGCCCTAATCAATTCCCCTTTGCATTGCCTACACTCCATTCATGGTCATCGACTGATGGTGAAGAATTGTGCAATGGAGGAGGCTGTCATGTCGTTTTTCGTGATTGCAATCCCATTCTTTGGTAAGACTCAGTATTATTCTACTGATGCATGCTATTTTCTCGTTGCGTGTTGTCAATCGTCAGTTTGACTTCAATGCCAAGGCGAATGGTGAATATCCCATTGTGCTTTTGTTCGTTGCAGTTTATCGGTCACCTGGAGCCTTTCCTATGCAAATAGTGGAATATTGCGAAGGTGATTGTGTTTCACATTGTGGTTGACATGCTGAGTTAAGAGGAGAGATGTGTGGTAGTGAGTGGGACAGTGAATTGAACTGGAGTTGCTTTTGCCTTGTAGATGACTGATCAGTTGGAGAGGGATACGACACAGGTAGGCGCACAATTGAGATGCTCGGATACATGCATTGCATAGGTGTGTGTGCGTGTTTGTAGGTGATTGGAAACTGGGTGTGCGAGAAGGGAAGGCGGTGGTGGAAGGAATGAAGACGAGGGTGAATGTGAGTGGGAGTAAGAGTGAGACCGTAAAAGTTGAAGACAAACAAGAATCACGATAAAAATATGAAGAGGAGGAGGAGGAGGAGGGGGAGGAGAAGGTTAGGTAGAAGGAAGAGGAAGAGACGGAGGTGGTTGATTTTGAGGAAGAGAGGAATAGAGGTTAGAACGGAATAAGAATGGAGAGAGTTAGGTGAATGTGGATGCTGAGAAGGAGGTAGAGGTGGAGTTGGAGGCAAGGGCGGAGGTGGAGACAGAAGCGGAGAAAAGAAAGACGAAGGTGGAGAGAAGAAGAGGGCGAGAATGGTTGAGGCGCAGTTCAAGCTCATGTGAAGAGCCGCCTCCGTCTACCCCGAATCCCTGCATGTGTTCTAAAGAAGACTGAAGCGTTATGATCGAATATACACGTAGCATCATATCGTGAAGGACATTCCAAATATGTGTAGCATCACCTCACAAGTAGTTTTGCTTTTAAAACTATTCGCCTTGCAGAAAAAGCCATCTACAGCAAAGAAATTAGTGCACCAGCACATGATGATAGAAATTGATCGACCCCCTATTATTGCATTGGTTTGCAGCGCTGGTGAATCCACGGTGAAGCACGGCGGAGAATAGGGAGGCAGTTAATGCAAATAATCCCCTTCCATACAGTACTTAATACTGCAAAGTTGGATTGCTTGCACCCCTATTTATTTTCTTCGCTTCCCCTCCATTCGCTGGATCAATCCTACTACTGTAATGACTGTTGCATGTGGAGAGGTGAAAGCCGCACCTAAAGCAGCAGCAGTAGCATCAATGACAAAGCGGATGTTGGACAGTGGATGGTAAATGTAGATGTGGACGGAGAAATGAAGAGCGAAGTGAATGAGACAGAGGAGTCGGAAGAGAGAGGAATGAGATTAAGGATAAGAACGCGGTTAGGCTGAAGTGTACAGTGCTGATCAGGGCATTCATGGTCGCGGTTGGCATTTCACCCTGTGTAACTAGGCCTTTTGAAGCATGCGAATCCTCCACTATTACTTGCGGATATACAGGTGCTGGTGTCTCTTTGTCTGCCACCACTGCCGCTGCTCTTTTACTAGTATATGGCTACGTTGAAGGACCGCTTCTTGAGGACACTAAACGTATCCACTACTCATTTAAAGGAGAGTGCTTTGTGCCAAAGCCACCTCTTCATACATAAAGGAGTTAACGTGCATTAAAGAAACCCAAATATTGCGCTTTCTGTATGAGTATGCATCGAAAATGTCCTTCATGTGCTTCAAATTTGTACCATGCCCTCAATATGTAGCGTATTGTAATAAATTTAAGGTCTAAAAATGCCACAATTGCATTTCTAAATTCTAATAAGGGATCTGGTTATTCCAGAAGCTATGCTGGGCTCAGGAATTCTCCAAGACATCATCCTTCACCATCGTCAAAGCGCTTGTTCTAGCTGCGTACAGTTTACTACGTTGGGATATCACAGTTTCACTGTTCTACATTGGGACCTTAACCATTTGAAGGCAAAACATACAACAATTTGCACAGAAACTTAGCAAAGACTATATTTTGTGAGTCACATCCTCTCGATAGACGTCATCTTTCGTGATGCTGCGCGGATTGAGCTCGGTGAGTTTTCCTCTGAGGTAATACCTCGGCAAATCGCAACATACTTTTCTGCGTTTCGGGCGTTTAAGCTGTTGTCGCAATAGTAAACGAGCCGCGCGTTGTAAGTTTTGAATTCCACATTGCAAGGAAAGTAGCTTCATTAGATCTGCTTGCCTTTACACTTGTACTGTCATACATAATGTTTGCATTACAACCTGTAGATCAAGCCGGATAAATGGAATGTTATGAGGCTTAAAATGGATGGATACAAAATTTTGACGCTCTAGCAAAGTGGGATTAATTTGACTTGGATATTGCGTGACAACCAAGAGCACTAAAATGGGTGGGAATTTCTTGGAATTTCTTCGTGTATTTGCCTCACGCCAAGTGCATTTCGTTGTCCGGCATCACTGTTCGTGATTAGTGGTTGGAATTAGGCCATTTGTTATGACGAGGCTTTCCACGTTATCTGACACAAGACTGAGCAGTCCTGCTTTAGCTAACGCACCTCACTCGGTGGGGTGGAGTGATATCTCAAAAAAGTCTTGCTCACCCAATACTAATGTCGGGGCAAGTAAACTTTATCTCCCTTCGTTTCCCCTTGCCGAATTGGGGTCTCAGATCAGACAGCAAGTCAAGTGACAGTCGCAGAGGCTCTATGAGGGCGCTTCTTTGAAAACGCAGCGGAAGGAGAAAAATGAGAATGGGGAGGAGGAGGAGGAGGAGGCATTTAAGCTTGTAGTGCATTGCCGCATGCCAGCAGTGTCGCATGGAAAAAAAGAAATATTTTTGAAGCTGCGGTGCGTTTGGATGCAGGTAGTATAAGGCTAGCCTATGTCAACGTGCCCTGCCGAACAAACTGGTCTGGGTGGGTGGTAGATTGAATGACGTCTATCAAGCCATTCCTTCGACAACACGTACCCTCAGAATCAGATCATTAGTGGGACGACAAGGAGAATTTACTGAGAAAACTGGAGTCTTCTTTACAAACTACAGTGCAAGCAGAAAGACAGTCGTGGTTTCCGTCTATCACAGAGACGGCCATTCCCACTACTGGCCACATTGCGAGGCCACCGCTAACGGCCAAGCACACGGCTGCTCTCATTGTGGCGCCAGCACAGACGGTCACGCATACGGTTTCACATATTTTGAGCTGCGCTTACTCTCATCCTCAGTTCGGTGCTGAGTAGTAACATGGCGGGAAATGAAGAGAAAGCTGTAAAACGCCAGAGCTGCATGACATTCAATTTGCCATAAAAATGGCACAGTACTGATGAGAATGCCTACTTTTTTGGCTACAAAGTGCTCTTGTTTTTACCGATGTTAGGTACCCGCACAAAATGCATAAGAACACTAAGTAACTGTATGTCCTTAATGGGGAAAAAGTGACGTTTGTGAGGTGAATGCAAGTAGAATCGCCCAACAACGTGGCCAGGCCACCGTGTCGGTGTGCCCATCGTACATATTTTGATCCCTACATTCCCCAATGTTTTCTTCCGGCATTGCAGCCGTCCTGCAAAGTTTCCCTCATTTTGTATTTTGGTCTTGCTTATTCTGTGATGGCTCGTTAAATCCACTTCGAGCAATACACATGACATGCAGGACCTGATGGACTTACTTTCCATTCGTAGTGTCCGTTTTTGACGTTGCTGCAAAGTCCAAGTAAGATAACAGCCTTTGCTGAAGAAACAGATGGATGGGTGTGTAATATGCAATACCTTAGTGACATTAATCATTGTCCAAGTTAAGATCTTGAAAAAAAAGCTATTTTAAACCAGAAATGTTGGTATTTTTAGGATGTGTACACATTTGCTAAAAAACTCACAGCAGATTTATAGTGCTGCGTGCACTTCTGATGCTCACGGAAACCACTTCTCACGTAGTCGTATTGTCTCAACCCCAATTCAAGAAAAGCCAATCATGCCCAGAAAATATTATGTAGTCAGAAAAGTAGCGAACACAGCACGAAGTGTGAATTGTTTCATAAATGTGGTCTACTGAACAGATGCTCTTGATTTAACATCTGAAATCCACCCATTTTGAAAGCTGATTCTGTTTAGTGCTTGGGAATGCCGTACAGCCATCCTTGAGCCACATCATCCAACAACTTTGTGACGCAGTTCACACGAACACAAGCGTAGGTTACACGAAATTCGTCGACGACTGACTTGTTTTTGGCACATTTCAATTTCGCACTTCACGTTTGAATGTTTTTATTGCGCCGATGACAAAACATGCTGGAAGGAGATGTGTGGACGGTGAGCAGGCATGTTTAACCAATTTCTCAATCCACACCTCGTGTTATGAGCCTTCTTGGATAGCTTTGCTACTAACAGTCAGTCAGCTAATCGATCCATCAGTCATGCGTGTACAGGTATGCAACCAAACTCGGGTGAATGACGCTAATTTTGGGCCTAGAGATGCATAAAGTTAGAAGTTAGAACTAAAGTTAGAACTTGGCTGTATGTTGCAACCATGCGGCAGATGTGAGAGTGCGGTCATCTTTTGTACTTTGGAATGTACTGCAATCTGGAGCTATCTGTGGTTCAATACAGTCTTCCAATTGCATTTCATGGTCATCGCTAGAACAAAAGACCTCTACCGCCATCACTTCGTCTAAGTAGCGGATTTAGAAATAAGAGTGTTGTAATGCATGTTTTGGTGGTGATACTGTATTGCAGCCACCACTGACTCTGATGAAATCACCATCCTCTGCAGAGTTGAAGAGATGATGCTTAAACATCTTTGGGCCATTTGCCACGTGCTGATCAAGCGCTCCCAGTATGTGGCATGGAGTGACAAGAAGCAAGGAAATGCATACCCAGCAAAGCTAACAGGCCGGGGCAAACATTAGGTCCTACGGGCAGTGCTGGAGCATTTATTCACTTACTTGATGCCAACCACCTTTCACACTACACGCGTTACTCCACCTCTACATTTTATACTACATGGGGCATTGTGGATGCATGATGTAGTGTATCGGTGATGTGACCCTTATGCTGCAGTCAATGGTATTGTGGTGTAGGGGTGATAGTGAAGGCGAGAAAAGGCATCTGTGGCAGAAATAGTGTTGGTTGGTGGGGGTGGTAGAGCCATTATGTACTGACTTTGGGAGCCTCGCTGATGCGAAGTTGTCCAACTCTTGAACCGACTTGCGATCAGCCTTTTGCAAGCACAAGTCCACATCTAATTCGACTTCCACTTTTCCCAGCAAACCACTGTATACCAATTTTGCCTATTCTGAATAACGTGTGATGGCATCGTAGACTTCCACTCCATTGAATGGCTTAAATAAAATCAAGTAGAAATGTATTTTTTAAGCGGCCTGTACACGTTACGCTCGGAGTTGGCTATGTTGTAATGAGAATGAATCAATCTCATCCCTTGTGCACTACTTGCCCTGCCATGCAACGTTTTGCCTATTCCTGTAAAATTCTTATCCCTCACGTCCTGTAACGCATCATTTTACCATTGCGCGAAACGCTACCATCTCGTCACCGACACACTGGTGCTACTCCGCTAGTTGGTCGTTGGCCCCATGACCAGTACATGCACATTCCATGCTGTGATCGGTGCATAGTGTTGGCGCAGGATCAAGTCACCTCCAATGCCATATTAATTCAAAAATGCAAGGCGGGTTTATAACCACACTTGCAATTGCATTTGTTACTTTTTGGTGCGGCTTTTACTCTACCATAACCTTGTTGTTCTGAATGCCTGTTTTTTACAAAAAACAAGTGGTGTAAGTGAATAAAATTGAAGTTATCGAGGCATTAGACATTGGGATGTAAGGCGTGTTGGTAAGGGTCACAAGCATGTAAGGAAACATGATGCCTGCATTAACAAAGTAATGTCACTGGAATTTATTGACTTGCACATAATAAGGCTGGCACTGAAAAAACCGAAATCGTTTTACGTGATCCAACGTATAGAAAGTGAGTTAGTCGGTAAAACGTATTCAGGATGGCCTTCCCACTCAAGATTGTATGCAAAAGCAGGATCTCCGCCTAATTTGGTAGTCAACTGTTGTTCACCTGTTTTATACTGTCCACGCTTACAATCAGTCACCCTATCAGGAAATAACACCGATAATATTCGACCACTGAGCAGACATTACCTGTGAAGGCTTCTTGGGTTAGTCAGGCAAAACCGAATTAAAGCCTTACATGACCTACTGTGTTCGCTTTATTGATACAATGCATTGCGAATGAAGCATCCTGGTAAATGCAATTCCAATTTTGCATCTGCATTAGTGCAGCTACCTACACTCACATTCAAGCATAAAAAATGCCCCATGAATGAGGCGTGATTTTAGTATTTTCTAAATGTAGAAAAGGCATCAGAATAATTTGAAGCGATGTCATGCGATTGAACACTAAGCAGCATTACTTCATAGGTAACCGCTGTTCACTTAGGCCTATAAATAATCAAGTTCGTCACAAACTTAGTTCGCTCACATCAGCGTTGTTCTTTTGGTAACCTTTCTAACCCTACTTCACCATGTGTGGGTGCTGCATTTACTTTGCAATCTTTGGCGTCAAAGAGGGTCTGATGATAACCTCTCCTAGCTTGGACTTTCGTGCCTCTTCCACATGGCAACAATGGTGATGATGCTGGCTTCGAAGTCACAAATTATGGATCTCATCCTTTATTCATCCCACCTCAGTGGCCACCTCCTCTTTTGCCAACACTTTTTCCTATTGATGCGTTCATCAGTTGCAATTATCCAAGAATGTTTTCTACGAAGCCATGTATTTGCAATCGTAGTGCTGTTGATTACCACTCCTTCTGATCCGCGGGTAATTGAGATCACCGCTTGCAGCAATTCTCCACCTTCATATTATGCAAACATGGATACAGGCATTTTAGCATCATCTTCACTAACAAGCCTCATTCAGGCAATAGCCATGAGGCTTAGATATTCCACGCTTACTCAAATGCTTGTCAGAATCCGTGCCTCGTTGATATCGTGAAATGGAAGAGGCATTGCGCCATTTGGAATGTCCCCTCTGCCACATTAACGGGTCTTTGCAGCATAAAGCCTTACTAAAGGATTTGTGAAGGATATGCTTTAAAACACAAACAACATATCCTACCAAAGATATCAAGGTGCCTGAATCCAAATTTGTGTTGTATGAGGGTGCGGAATTGTTGAAAATGGTGACTGTGAATTACTCGCTGCAAATATAGAACTGGATTCGGTGAAATTGAGATTGGAAATATGCAGCTTCGTAGAAAACGTATGTGAATCATTGTGAATGGTGGATTCCTCCCTGTGAAGATATGTTGATCATGGTGGAATGACTACAAAATGTGGGATGAGCACATCATCGGCCTCTAAACCCCCATCCTTAGAGCCACCAATGCCACTTCTATGGTATAGAAGCAGCACAGCTCAGTATTTACTCAGTAGCTCTCTAATGCACTAAAAAATAATCCAGTTTTATTATCAGTGTTCTATCAGTACATACTTTGTTATTAATAATTTTTTTAGACGAATGGCTTCTTTTGCCTTTGATAATGTAGGGGTTGGATTTATTAACAACAGTCATTTCGCACCATGAGTGTGTAGGAGAGCAGCATTCGGGTATTTGAAATGCATGCCAAACACTCACAGCGAGGTTGTAGGAGTACTGCTGTATGTCAGGTTGGAAATGTGGACGCATGCAGTAGGTGATGCATGGGAGAGAGAGAGGTGTGGATGGTACATAACCAGTGATTTGAATATTCATTGGAAAGTTGAACCAAATAAACTGTGTGTTCAGCTGCAGCAGTGTTACTTTTCGCTGCAGGGCATGTCGTTATGTTCTAGGTCCTGTTTGGAAAAGTGGCCAACGTTGTCAGGTGTGCAAAGAGCCTTAATGGAACCATGTTGATCCGTGGATATTGTCTTACGTGAGCGTTCACAAATCTTCCGATTTGACTCAAATAATCCTGTAGGGGGACATTTGCTTTTTGTCGCTGAGTGTTGAAGCCTAAAATCATCAAAAGCGTATATTTCAATGTTACATTGTTAAATTTGGTTATTCTATTTGCAATTTATATGGACTATATATTGCATCAGGCAGTGGGCAATGAGCAACAGATTAGCAACTTCAACACTGTAGGGTTCTTCGAGTAAGGCCAGAAGGCATGAGGATATATACATAAGAGCTGTTTTTCTGAAGCCTTTGACTAATAACGCTGAAGTGTTGAAGTGGTGCAGTTGGATGTACAGTGTCAAGTGATTGAAAAATGCCTAGCACTATGCGTAGGCCCCAATGTCTGCCCTGGCCTATAAGCATCGCTGCTTATACATTTCCTTGCATCTAGTCGCCTCATGCCACAAGCTGGAAGCACTTGATCCACATGTGTCAAATGACCTGAAGTTGTTTAAGTATAATCTTCTCTACTTCACAGAGAATTGTAATGCCATCAAAGTCAGTGGCGCCTGCTCTACAGTACCACGACTATATTATGCGCCACGACACACCCATTCACAAATTAACTGCTTACACTGGGCTTTGGTGGAGGAGGTCTTTTTCCCGGTGATAACGCTAGAATGCAAATAGAAGACTGCGTTGAACGTTAGATTTCCCTTAAAGGCAGTACATTCTGAAACAATATTAATAACCGCACTCTCACATCAGCCGCACGGCCACAACGTGTCACCACGTTCAAGGCTTCATAGGAAAATTATGGCCGCAGTGGAGACATATCCCACCACAAAACTAGCTCTTTAATTGAGTTTGGGCTGTAGAACAGGTGATGCCTCACACATCTGCACCTACTTTTGGGACGCAGGTTTCTCATCCGACTGGCTTGCTTCCGGTGCATCCAAGTTGCGCAATTATAAATTTGGATGTTTTCTTAGCGTCAGTGATTGAACAGCAAGCTGGAAGTATATATGCGGTCGGTGATTTGGCTTGTTTGAGCAATTCCCTCATTCACATTTCTCTTTATTTTTACGCCTTGGTCAATTTACTGGCAACAGTCAGTCAGATAGTCATTTAGTCCTGCTTACATAGGCATGCAGCGAATGCTGTTGGAGGATGCCAGTGTTGGAATTAGGGAGACGACTTATTGTGGGGTACCAGCATAGATTGAAAGCGAGTTTAATGAAGAGATATGCTTTTGCTTAGCCTGTAATTTTCCGACATGGTCGTATATTGTGACCGTGCGGGTGTTGTGAGAGTGGGTGTGAGTCAAATGTCGTGGATAAAGTAGAGGAGAATTCGTAACATGCATCTATTAATTAATTGCAACAAGGTTTAGGACAGGTGTTCATAAGCTTATTATGTTTGATATTATTAAAGTAACAACATGTTTTCACAAAACTTTTGCCTTTTATGTCATTATTTTTTTAATTGTCAGTGTTCAATGCAGAAATGCCTTTAATCCAAAGCTGCGCTTAAGGTTTTGTTTGTTAGTAAGTTGAGTTTTTTGGCAACACACCCCATTCATAATGCATACATGGGTATATTTTAGAAGTACCATACCTTACCACTGATTTTGCCTATATAGTGCTAGAATTACTACAAAATTATCGTGACAAAACCGGGTGCTTTGATTCTGGGAATAGTCTAGCCTACATTTAGAAGTTCGCCCAATAATGGAACCTGTATTCTTGAATACCACTGCCAATTAGTTGGCAAATAACAACTCTTACAGTGGCCGCTGCTTCTATTTAGAAATACTGGCTAGGATATTTGGCAGGAAACAAATTAAAATTGGATGTTTTGCAAGGTTTAGATCGGTCAAGTAAACACAGTCCTAAAAAGGTGAGTGAGTATTATACAGAACAATCTGGGGATGGAACGGTGACGAATTATAGTGCCATTCACTCCTCATTCTTAACATAAAAACGTAATGATAAGGAATGTAACTAATTCTCTGTCTGGTGCATTGCCTCTTGCTTAAAAATTACCTATAAATCCTAAAAAAGCGCAGGATCGATATTACTGAAAGGCAACGCTTTTACCGGATAGAATCTAACAACTTCTCATCCTCCATTTTATTCTACCTCCATTTTGCTACTTATTTCAGCTTTCTGCTTACGTCGCCACCAATCCACCCTGCCTGTTAAGGCGAATGGAACCGAACTGTAAGCCACACATAGACTCAGTGGATTGTAAGCAACTAGGGACTCTTCTTTCTTGCAAACATTAATAGCTCTCCAAGAGGTTTGCAGAATCACTGAGACGCTTAACCTGAAAGTCACTCATAGGCTATTGGACCCACAACCCTAAAATATGGCTGCTCATTACGTGGTGTCAAATGATAAACCCCAAGTGATTAATTTGGCAATAACTGGCGCCTTCCCTGAATAAAAATGTTAAGTCTACCTCACAGAGAGGTGACTTTTTCATTGACAAATGGTAGAAGGAGAGGCAAATTTGAAAAGGAGAGAAGATTTATTTACTCTGGTTTTCAAGTAGTTTAATGCCCCAAGACGACCTTTGCAGGTATCGCACCATTCTGCATATGATTACCGCGCGATAAGAGAGTAACCCTGAGTGGCATGATTTCGCAATAGAAATGTTTAGCAGTTAAAAAGAGGTGAGGAAAGTATAGCGCATACCAAAGAAGAATTAATTCAAAAGATCTAAGAGACTATCTGTTTAATAATTTGCATGCAAAATGGAAAGAATGTTTAGATTTTGCAGAATTAATTAGATTATTTACAGACTAAAAGGTCGGAATTATGAATTTTTTTTGGGTGGTAAAAAAATTATCAAGTTTGTCATCGAGTTAACCTAAAGTGTGGTCATGCAATGGCAATATATATGAATAAATCCTCTACATCCCTGGATTCCGCAGACAGAGTACATTGTAGGGATAGGGACAGCTCTTGTTCAAAGAAATTATCTTAATCCTAAAACCTTTGATGAACGTTTGTCCTGATTGGATGTACTTTAAAATATGAAGGCAAAGGCTGCTTCTTCCATCCTCTATCCTCTGACGTCTGTCTAGCTGATAACCCCTATATCAGTTAACTGACCACCTTCTCTAAGAGACAATAAGTTCCCACCAATAGAAAGATGTAAAATGCGATAGAGGTTCTGTTTTTACCGTGATAAGGTGACACCATCAAAAGAGTTCATTTTAGCGAAAAATATTTGTATAAAGACCCCAAGAATTATAACCTATTCACTTGTTTATGCAACGAAAAAATGAGTGCTAGTTAAGGATTCTATAGACTTTTGAGTAAATATAGAGCAGGTTAGCAGGATTAGTAAAGTAAGTAGGGTAAGAGAGCTCCGCATCATTGGCTTGTTATTCAACTGACAAGAAACTCGGTAGATCCTCTACGAAAACATATAGCCAATACCTTGCGCAAAAGATTGGTACACGCTGGTGCTGCCCGTAATCATTTATCCCCATAAGATTGAGCTAGGATGGAATTGGTGAAATAGAGGCAAAATTGTTAGCTACATTTACTCATTCATTTATGGACCGAACGACTGCGGCTGAGATAAGGCTACTTGACACAATATCATCCTGCACGAAAAGGTGGAACGTAACACAACTAAAACCTGTGAAGGGTATAATAGGAATGGAGAAGAACTAGTCAATACAACCTCTGGGATGAAGGAAGGTTCGGTTTTTACAAAATGGGGTGCAATACATCACCACCCCATGCAGCTGCGCAAATAAACTCTCCATAAGAGCTTCGCCATATATAATGGGAGTGAGAGTGGAAGCTAGGGCAAGGACTGGCAGCACTGGCTTGTCCTCATCGTTATCCTCATCTTGTCTCATATTGACTTAATGGCAGAAAGTGGTATGAAAATCAGACTGGAAAAATAAAATCCTTGAAAAGAATAATGTTAAAACAGAAATGGTGTTAGCTGGCCAGTATTAAGCCATTTGGTTTCGGTGGCGCAGAGCTTTAATGGGTTTGGTGTTGCCAAGGCAGTGCCTTGTAGGAAAATAATGATATATTTTGTTAGTTCTCGCTGCAGTGAGTAAAGTGTATTTTAAGAAGCCCTTTGCACAAACTCATTTGGCAAATTTGACAATGCTGAGGCAAAAAATAAATGTCCTTTAGCTTCCCCATGCAACATTCTCGAATAAGATGCTACCGGCAATTTCATTAGAATTTGAAACCAAACTTTAATTTAGAGCTCTTCAAAGTTGTTGCATCATGAGCTGATCTTTAAGTGGGACTATATTGCATCCACAATGGAGGCACCAATCTCCACCGAGAGATCAGGCAGGCTGGACCAATGAGCACAGACAAGTCTGGAGACAGCACCAGAACCCCTTATAATGTAGGATTTCCGATCAAGCACGCCAATCGCTTTAGTTATGCTAAGAGTTGTTGCATTTTTCGTAATTGTCTCTCTCTGCGTGGATTCTAGTAAGGGACTTATGCTGCTTAGAATAAACTTGATGCATCTGCTCTTTTCATGCCTACTTGCACATATTCTCTCTCGACAAGGTTATTTGCTTCATCCGCACTTCACTCCGATCATCAATCAGTGGAAGCCTGTGAATTTGAAACTTCACAAAGGGTGTTAGAAATAAGTTTTTACTTATTGCATTTGTTCATTAGCAAGATATTATAAAGGTAACTTAAATGTGGTGTACTTTTAAAAAGAATTTTGGAAAGGAAAAGAAGAAAAACACACGTATATGCCTTTCATCAAAGTTTAGCCATTTGTATAAAGTCAAATTTCACATATGTCACTACTTTTCCCGTTTCTTTTTAATTGTAGACGCACAAATCGGCTCGATCGAAGATGACACAAGGATAATCAGAGGTCCGATAAACAGCAGCTTTACGCTCCAGTCTGTTCTACCTGATGTGTATAAGGTAAAACGTGGTTCTACTGTATCATAACTACTCTTAAAAGGATAATTTCCCCTTATATTATTGTAGGCTGTTGTTATTAACAATCGCAGCTTCCCAATAACAAATGGCGTTTGCACAACCAGCTACTTCACCTGCGCATATATTCAAGGTAGGTGCTCCAAAATTCTTTATTCCTTCTCTGTAGGTATTTTAAGCAATTTATTTTAGCATTTTATTTTAAACTGTACAGTTTGGATCGAAATTCAGTCTAAATTGGAGTACCAGTAAAATCGTTTGCATTAAAAGATCTTTTCATAAATTATTATAGTGCGTCCATATCACGCGGTGGTGACGTTGACAGGAAAAATTTCGGAAGATTTAAGTTGGATTACGTTTATACCACAAAGGAAGTCCGTAATTGCTGTATCAATTGCTGTGTTCCCAAACAACGTGTGGACACATTCCACAAAAAGTAAATTGAAGCAGCTCAGAAATTCTGAGGCTTCCCATAACTTATATTATTAAATGCACCTTTAACTTTATAATCATGTAAGTAATTTGATTCGGAATCCAAATCAGCCATTTTTCATTGATGCTCTCAACATGACAGAAGCCAAGCTTACTTCTACATTCAATGGAACTGGAACACCGGTATGCAGGTTTTGGTTTTTAATTAGTGCCGTTTACCCAATGCCAGAATCCTACCCTCGAATTGTTCATTAGAGCTTAACCTCTTAACTTGACCGTTGCTTTCAAGGCCATGATCGTCGTAACAAAATACGCTTCTCCAGTATACGCGCTAAATGCCTCTAAGCCGGCGAATTATACAGAGGATTTCGCATAAATCGTCACATTCGGTTAGTTTTCTCTGCTGTACTTTTGTATACTTGAATGGTTTACTGAAAGCACCTATCAAAGTGCTTACAACATACCGTTCATTTAGACGTTAAGCAGGAAGCTAGTTCAACCACGTATGAGGTAACAGTACAACGACGTTTTCGGATAGATTACATCGGATGCACCGATGGATTGAATTGGATAACATACATGATAAATAGTTAATTATATTCAAGCGGTTTATTCCATCTACATGACGCATTCACAACCGGCCTTTTATTCCGAGCGAGGCAAAGATTTGAGGCTAGCACAGTTAAAATATGTTTGATTTAAAATTTAAAAGCTCTTTTATTTCCATGCTTCCGTTTTTGTCGCACCTGTATTGCCAAACTATCTAGTCTTTTGGGGTTTATGATTACACATTCCAGCGGCAGCCTTTATCGCGCTCTCTGATGCCTGCAATATTCACCTGTTAGTCTGGGATCTCAAATCATTAGATTTTTACAACACCTGTTGGATGCAAAAGGAACGCGTCTGCTTCAAAAAGCAAATAAAGCTTGATTTCAAAGCGGCAGAGGTGTATCGTAGAAGTAGCAGAGTTTGAAAAAGGCACAGTAGGTGAACATACCATCCAGAAATGGTTGGTGTTGGTGCGATTCTGAAGGCAAATCACTCCAAGTCAGATATATTGAGTTCAAGAAGACCCTCTGAACTGAACAGCAAGAAGTCGATGCTCACAAATAGACTAGTCTAGCTTGGAGTAGAATTTATAGAATTTATCATGCATATGGGAGACTTCGAACTCCGATTGGTTATTGAATTCCACACCACAAGCTGAAACTTCAGTAATCGGTGTTGTTTTGACCTTCCCTTAGTGTCGCGTCTAATAGTCAGTCTAACATTGTTCTTGTTCATAGTTGCATTAGAAATATTCAGTGTGAAGCGGACAACAATCGTTTGACTACTATTTTTCGCGGTACCATATCCTTTTGCAACTGGTTTAATTCACCTGGCAAAAGATTGGAAGCTCTACCGCACTAACCGCATAGGTGGCTTTTCCCAAGAGGCATTTTTCATGACGTCTACGTGAATGTGCGCTTCAGTAAATGTGATGACTTGATGCTCAGTCCTGATAAATTTGTAAAAGTAGCTGAAAATGTTTAATGACTTCATGCCTAGCTTGATTCTCTGCATTCTAGTATTTCCAGTTTATCCCACATACATTTGTGTACTTTCGGGATTTGCCTGTTTGTGTGTTTTAACGGTCGTCTGCGAGTTGATGCCAAGAAGTTTATTGCTGGACCGAGGCCTGTGGCTGGGTTTGTCACATGGCCGTGGTGCAGGAGGTGGGTAGGTAGGTGGATGTGTCAGCGAATTTCTGACTGCTGATCACTTCAGGGCTTAATTATTTTATTACATTACAGGAGATCTTTTGTTGCTTCTAAGCCAGTGGTTCTACGACCAACTATGGACATGCGTGGTGGCTAGCACATGTCCCCTTCACCGAATTCGGTTCCATAGAGGAGGAAACTGCAGATCCACTAGGATAACCAAAAAGGATAATTGACGACCCGGTTGAGTATATTCCAAAATGCATGGAAATTCAATAACTGAGACACCGGAACTGGACGCGGTATTCATAAAATGATGAACGGGGTAGTGGCAGTGGGGAGAGGATTCGCTATCTCAATATAACTAAGGGCCATTTTTCTTTGGAAAATTTTGATACCGTCGGCAATTTTCGTCCTCATTTTAGGGCACTCTCCAAACATGTGTATATGTGTATGCGCCCCGCCTTTTTACCATGTAACTGGACTCAATACCTAGGCCTTATTGTCGATAGTCGGGTCCTTGTGGGGAGAGGTGTGTAAAGAGAAATTGTCGGTGGCGATCTTGGGATTTGACACTAAACTCGTGACTCCTTGAATGCATCCATTCACTGGAGTCAATTACCTTCCCAACCATATTGAGCTCTCATCCCTATCTCAGATCCTTCCACCATTCTAGATGCGGTCATTTGTGGAACCGTCCGCATATGAACTTTGCCGTTCTGCTATGGATAAGTTTTGAGTGGACAAGAAAAAGTCAAAACATATTGCGGGGCATTTAGTGCTGGATGATGATAAGTATCTTATAAGCAAGTAAAGCACTCGCTTATTAAAAGAATTTGTTTATAGCATGTCGTGGCCCTTTATTTATCGGTTTTATTTGACCGGCCATAAGTTAATAAATGGAAATCGCCCTTCTACCCGTGTTATCCTATTCTACTTATATAGCGCAAACTCACAAATTTGGGTAGTTATCAATTTATTGTTAACAGTAAAGGCTTCTCTTGACAGTTTTCCAAGGACTTCGGTGAGACAACAAGGGATAACTTGAGTAGGTGCATCTCAACTCACCGATCTGTGGCCACTCAACCAACAAGGGTGATTGATCAGCTTTCCTCTGATACAAATAACGGCAGTGTAAACTTTAACGGTTCTAGTAGAAAGGTGGAATGTATGTGAGGTGAAATTCCAATGCCAGTGATTACACGCGGCATGCTTTGCGAATTGTCATAATAATGTTCAACGTTTTCAAACTGATAATCCGGAAAGTAAAGTGGACAGTATAAATCAAATTTTGCTATGTCTCCCTTGCATCTTCCCGTCTGTTTCTTTACTCTTTTCTCTGTCAGCCAGTCATTTGGTTGCTAGAGGTAGCGTAAGTGTAGCATCACTAACTGTCCACTAATTTAGACAGCCACATCACCGCTATAGCTTCGAATTCGAGCACTTTTTACTCAAACGTCACGTTAATTAACAGGAGCCTCTCACTATCTCCTCATTTACAGACTGTCAAAGGAGCAAATTGCAACAAAGTCTTTGTTTATAGGGCATCAAGATACCTGCTCCTCTTTGTTGATCGTTTCCTATGTCATTGGAAATTTCACATGCTCCAAAATGTACTTGCCTGAATAAATTCTCATTTAGTCATCACATGCTGCCTGATGTTTGAGATCCGATAGGTGCAACAGCTGATGGGATTGAAGATATGTAGGTAGGTAGAGAAATTGTGGAGAACCAAGGCTGGTATTTGGAGAGCCGAACAGGTATTGTCCGTCTTCAAAAACGGTTGGTTTTTACTACTTATATAATGACAAGGGAGTATACACGCGCCTGATACTGCTATTCATGTATCTTTGGGTACCAGGAATATAAAAAGTCTAATATTGCATTACTGAACAGCAAATTTTTGGATTTTCCACCAACGGCGATCCAAAGGACTCCATTGAAAACATCATCAACACCGGTCTAAATCGAAATGCTGTTGCATTCCAACAAACTTCTCCCAAAATGGAGCTAGATGCCTTTACCTCAAATTAAATGTAACTAGTTCTGGTTATCATTAACAGTTACCGACTAAGTGATTAAGTGGATTTAGATTTAATGAAACGAAATTGGTGTGCAGGCTTGCAAACTGCACACGAATGTGATGTTTGAGTGATCGTATTGTGCCCTTGCATTGGTAAATATTGGTTTGAATGAGCAGATCTCGTTGACGCCCCTCCGAATGCCTGTAACTGTGACTTTTAACGACTGACCCATGTGGCGAGTCTAACGAATCCTATTCATGGAGTAGGGAGACAGCATCCCCCTGGTATACTGCTTTTAGCATCCCGTCGTAGCTTTGGTGGGTGGAGGAGGCACCTTCTGAAAAATTTGGGACGGCTTTAGTTCTGTTGGAAAATGTCCCAAGACAGATCTGGGTGAGTAGGATATTTCAGCATTTAGGTTGCTTGGCCTGCAATGACAAACAATAACGCATTACCTCTAACTGTTACATGCTTGTTCCTACTGAAAGCAATCCACTAAAACAGTGGAATTCTCCTAGTCTTGACAACTAATATTAATTCGGCTACTCTAGGGTCAAAGACTGTTTTACTGAATGACATCTGCACCGATTGTTTTCATGATTTTGATCAATTGTTAGAGTTAGGACACGTGTTGCCAGTGTCACAAGGGAACGCGTGTCCTAGGCGGAAGAATACACTGAATAATGATGAGGGCCGACGCAATACAAGACAGATCTGTTACGATGTTTACACATCTTTTGATTAGAGAAGAGAGTAAATATCTCATGTTTCTTGATGCTCTAGTGTTTCCCCACCCGCTACAAAAGAATGAGCCCTTTTCAGACTTGTTGTTTTTAACTCGATTTCAGTAAGAAATCTAAGGGGTTGCATGTTCAAGCAGAGCATTTAGGCCTTGAAGGTTTGTTTTGTTTGCTGCATAGACGAAACAGCTAGTGAATTCCCTACCAGAGGTCATGGGGAAAAGTCAATTTCCGCGGCTTATCTGTTGTATTGTTTTTTTATGACACTAATTGCTTTTTATCTCTTTTTCCCAATCCAACTTATTTTCTTTTCAACGAGATGCGTCACATATGTGTGACGCAATCGTAGAGTCACATGAGTGTGATGGAATGTCGTTTCTAAGACGTAAAGTTAACCATTATGCTCTGTGGATTGTTCGTTCAATGCCAGTTAAGCTTACAATTGCTGCAACGTATGTAGTCTGCCGTTCTTTATGATTTGAACAGAAAAGACATTGTTTAACTGCCAATTTCTAAGCAGTGTATGTTATCCAAACGGCTTGTCAGACCTGTATATTAACTGAGATTAATGAATGGTTGCTGATCGTGTGATTAACGCAAGCCCATGAGCTGAAGCCAAGTGGTATTAGTCATATTCTATTGCTGTTTTTACAGTTAGAATTCTAAACTAAGGTGGCTAAAGCTAAGTTTTGCTTCCTAAAATAAGTGGTTTGGTAACACTAGTTGGGGAAATTTGAAAATGCTTAATAAGACTCAAATTGGTTAATAAAAGAAGTCCTCCTATGTGATTATCTTGGCCCTTCATTTTCTTTACTGACTCTTATTTCCCATGGAGGTGTTAACCATTACTCGGAGAAATAGCCCTGGAGAAATTCGGAAGATGC